GTCGAATAATTGTGCTCCTCAGTTTGCCGGGTCATTATTTGTTTGTTATAAATTCGAAAGTTTTTTCTGCGGAAATAAAGTCGACGAAAATTTTGTTAACCAACCGATTTTTTCGGACGTTAGGATATCTCTATCATTAATCGCCCTCATTTATGCACTTGTTGGTTAAATAACTATTGAACATGTATCATTCAGTCATTTGATGCTCTAACAACTTCACATGGTGGAAAGACTTCCACCTACATGCTTCTATTGTCAGAAAACATCTCAATCGATTTCCTCAAATGATAATATTTCGAACTTTTCTTGCTCGTCACAGCACGAGTTTTCAATCTTCTTTTTATTTAGTGGCATAATCGTTTTCTGAAGACCACCTTATATCAATGAATATGATTTTTGTCATCGTTTGATGGAAGCCGATAGAAATTAGAGCATCGAATTATGCATTGTCTTGTGACAATTCCATCAATTCTAAAACCGTTTCGAGAAAACAGATGGAGCACTATGTTTTTTCCCTCAGGAAGAATTAGAAGGATCTTTCAAAACATTTTCAATTATTAGAACATTCAGAATCTGGAAAAAAATTAAAATTGGTAAGGGCAGTCGAAAGTTGAGATGAATCAAAATTGAGCGAAAACTGTCGATTTAACGTTTACAGTGTTGAGCAGTTTAGTATATTTTTCGGGAATAATGAGGGCTTACATTCTTAAACTCACCTGCTGGCTATACTTGAAAAACATGAGGTCAATGTCGAAATCTAAAACAAAATTTGCCGGATAGCCCTAAAGGCTATTGCCTGTTTTATCAAAAATATTTCCAAGAATGATGTAGAATATTTGAACAAAAATCTCATGTTATGGTGATCCTTCAGCAGAATTAAGTTTTTCCACTCTCAATGTGTAAATTTTCGACCTATTCTCACATTGACAGAGAAGAAGATATCGTAGGAAGAGGCCAAAGGACGAAAAGAATAAGTATATCGGTGAAAATCAAAAATGCATATGCATCTACAAAAGTTTCCAGTCAATATCCCCCATGTATGTCAGTAAATAGGTTTTGTTTGCGATCAAGAACATAGCTTTTCTCTTCTGAATGTTTCGTCGATGTTTAGGAGCAACAACATGGAATACAATAAATGAATGAGAGCAACATACTTTTATTTCTCATATTAAGTTCTTCAGAATGATGATAAAATCGTTGTTTGACTTATTGATACCGTCATATGCTCAAAAATAAAACAATAAAACCATTGTCTTATCGGTAACTTGTTATTTTGGTCGATAACGGACATCAGCGTATAAGTAAATGTAATTTCAACCATACAAATACGTTAAATTGTGGTTTGATGAAACGTTAACTGTGAATATTACCGATCTATGAAGCAATAAGCCACCATAGTAAATTGATAACTTATTCGAAGAAGTTACAGATTAGACGGTGTAAAAATATATACTATGGTTTTTTCAGAGAATCAATTCCATAGAAGAAATCGTATGTCAAAATTGCTGAGATTTGCACTTCATTTTCACTATAAAATTACATATTGAAGTGATTCTTCTTTATGCTGACGATCTCAAACTCTACCACAGTGTGAGTGAACTAACGGATTGTATAGACCTGCAAAAGGATTTGGATGGTGTCGTGGAGTTCTGTTACATAAACGACCTACAATTGAATGAGGGCAAATGCAAAATGATGACGTTTACAAGAAAAAAAATGGTGATTCAAGGAAATTATTCCATTAATAACACTGTACTGGAGAGACTTGATTATATCAAAGATTTAGGGGTTATTTTCAATGGTGCTTTCAATTTCATAATGCACATTGAATATATAGTGAAAGATGCCTACCGGAAACTCAACTTTGTTCTTAGAAATACTAACAAGTTCAAATGGAATACTTTATCAGTCCTGTACAATGCATATGTTAGATCTAAATTAGAGTATGCCTCAACTATTTGGAATCCCACTACAGCTACTCACTCTGAGATGATAGAGAAAGTTCAGAAGAAATTTTTGAGATGTTTATTCTTTAGGAAAAATGGCATTTCTTCATTCATGGTTTCCTATAATACCCAAAGACTGCAACTGAATGTTGATTCATTGTCTCATCGAAGATTTTTAAATGATGTGGTATTTGTAATAAATGTTCTTAGTGGACATTTAAATGTACCTGAATTACTCTCTATAATACCTATAAGTGTTCCAAATATTTGTCTTAGAAGAAGAAACATTTTATTTAAAGTTAGCAATTCTAGTACTTCTCTAAACAGGTGTCTGATGAATGTTAACTCTTTTAATGTGAATAATGATGTTGATATTTTTAATATGAATTCTTGTGATATTTTTAGATTTTGATGCATATATATATATATTGATAATCATTTTTTTTTTGTTTTTAAGATGTTTTTTGTATCGTATTTTTGTGCATTTGCATACTGTTTTACTGTATATTATTATTCTACAACTGTGAACATGTAAAAGGGCTCTGCCTGTTTGTTTTGCAGTATAAATAAATAAATAAATAAATAAATTTTGCCAGTGGTGAGGTTCTTTTGACACCTCTAGCGGATGTTTATACTAACAGCCCGAATAAATGACAAGATATACGTATACTGCCGACACGCGTACAGTAAGATGCAATGAACATGTCGCACCCCTAACAACACAAGTAATTCCTAGGGACTTCCCAGGGACATCCCTAATTTCATACTTGGACATCCCAGGGATATCCTGTGTCGGGACAAAGTACATACTAGGAACGTCCCAGGGACATCCACTTTCAGACAAGAAGGACATCCAAGAGATGTCCTTCTGGTACGTCCCTGGGATGTACCAAGTACGGAGACAGGATATCCCTAGAACGTCACAAGGGTATTCCAGGGACATCCCTTCGACAGAAGAAAAAAAATGTAGGTCGAGTAGGGATTGAACCCGAGACCTTTAGCTTATCAGGCACGCACCTCACTCCATTGGCTAATATGCCTTCTGAAGATTTATGTACTAAACAGATCCACAAACAGTACAAAACTGAAACCTCAATAAGAACAACTTTGTTAGGATTTCATGTATAATTTTTATCATTCTTGGGTGTTTAAAAATGAGGGACATTATGAATTTACGATTTCTGTTTGCGAAAAATAGTCATTTCATTAAAAGTTCTAAGACTATATTCTTTATTTTCTTGAATATTTTATATATCGACTGTATTATATGTCCTATTATATTTCTTCATTTTCATTTCAATTATCTTCCGAAAATAAAACAAACATCTTCAGAAAAACTCAACTCAATATTTTGATGAAATTCGATGACTCTGATGCGATTGGATGGATATCAGATATTCCAGGGACCCGAATAGGATAACCTAGGAATGTCCACTGGACAATCACTGCGGGACATCCCCTGGATGCCCCAATCGTGTGCTTGAACCGCGGGACAGAGAAGGGACGTACCTAGGACATTCCTGTGTTGTTATGGACATGATCCGTGATAGCACCTCTCGCCACTTCTGCAATAAGAGCGCTAACACCATCCAACCGCGACATATTCTGTGCATCTGACTGTACGTACCTTCGTAAGTTTACTAGTAGGTGATGTTGATATGTTAAGTAACTATAATCTTCAAGTAGTCATCAACTGCAATCAGATGGTATACCTATGTATAACATGTGTATTAAATATGTATATCCTTCATACTGGAAACCTTCACTGAATATTTAATTTTCACAGTAGGACCCGTTGCCGACATGACAATTCCCTGATAGCACACAACGTCCTAGGGACGTCCCTATTTGGTACAATTCAAGTCCGAATGTCCCAGACCAAAAATAAGTGTCCTTGGGACATCCCATTCCATACATCTCATGCAATGTCCGAACATGGACGTCCACAGAATGTCCCAGCAGGTACATCATTTCAAATGTCCTAGAAATAGCATTCCTTAGACGTCTCACGTGGTACATATTGTAGAATGTCCATGCAAGGACGTCCTTGGCATGTCCCTGATGAGATATGATTTTAAACGTTCCTTTAGGGACATCCATCGGATGTCCCGAGTAGTACATATTCTGGCATGACTCCAGATATTATATAATGTCACTTCTAGACAGCAATGAAATGTCCCTAATGGTACATTACTTCAAATATCTCTGCACAGACGCCCTTGAAATAACGTCCTACGGACGTCCCAGTCGGTACTTTCAATATGTTGTCCCTGCGAGTACTTTAACTTACACCTCGCCGACGAATGATTGCTCGTAGGCTATATAATCCCCGTCAATGTCCTTCACGTAAGTTCATTGGACATCCATGGGAAACTTTTTCAGAATCTATTGGGAACCTTCTACGGACCATCAACTCAACTGGATGTCCTCATCAGTTATGCAAGATCTGGTCCTAGAGGGACCCAGAAGAATTCAAATTCAAGAATCATTTGTACGTCCCTGGGACATCCTATGGACATCTAATTGATATCCCTCAGCGTTGCTGATAGGTTGTCCTATGGATGTCCTCCGTAGTGCTTGATGAGGAATACTGTAGGATTTAGGTATTCAATAGTTGTCCCTAGTTGGTCCTCAAGTGGAACATTTGTGCGTCCCACAGACGTCCACGGTACCAAATTCGAACGTCCTTTGGACGTCCCGAATGTCCCGACAGGACGTCCTAAGGATATCCATGGGACATAATTGTGTTATTAGGGATTATCATATTTAGGATGCGATCAATGGTTTGAATTTCTGATAAACACGTTTTTTGCTACATATAAAATCGAAAAGAGATGATTCTGAGATTTTTATTACCTATTTTCTTTATGGCGTTGGGATATGGATTGGAACATCTTCTGATTTGACCTCACGTTTCGGTAGCATGGTCTGGTGCACGCAAAAACAATAATGTTAACCCCCATTCCCAGAATTCGATATCACATTAAATTAACCAGCTCTACAGTAGAGTAATTCATTAGATTGATGCGTATATTCCAGCAAATATTATCTAGACTAATTATTCCCGTTCAAGCATTTATTGATGAAATTGTAGACACTCCTCACATAACTCTCTCTGTTTTCTGCCAGATGTTTGACATGGAGACTCTTCTCGTAGCATACGGTAGTGACATCGATTCCTAATTTCTTCCTATAATTGGCAAAATATTCGATGTCCTGAAAAAAACAAAAATAGTATACTTACAGGTTATATCTTCCTGGGTTAACAGGATCTATAGAGAACTATATATTTGAAAGAAAGACAATACACAAATATTGAATTCATTTCGAGTCATTTCATTGATACATTATTTCCAGGAAATATTTTTTCAGTTGAATTTTCAACAACACACTTTCATTATTTTATTTTCAACTCCTGTTCAGTTTAACTAACCATAAAAGCGTGTTTTCTTAGTGTTTCAAACTCCTATTTATTCGCTTCTCAATTCGGTAATCTATCTCTTTTGTTTTCAAAACCTTATTCATTTATTTTCTACTTCTTTTTAGTTGGACTATCGATGGAAGCGTATTTTATTAGTCTTTCGAAAGACTATTATATTAGGTTTGTTCAACATATTGAACCGCCATCTTGAATTCTCTAATCATGACGGAGGAATCATATTCTCGAAAACCATTAGATACCAATTCTTAATGAAATTCAATCATTTAATTAATGAATTCGTAAGCCGTATTGAATCTGCCATTTTTGAGATTTGACGAAATGATCAATCTCAGAACCCAAAAATACCCAGATACCAATTTTGAACTGAATCGGATCATAATTACAAAAGTCGTGCGCGATATTGGACCCGTCAACTCGAATTTTCAAATTTTGAGGAAAAAATCATAATTTTCGACAAATCCCCCAGATATCAATTTTGAATAGAATCGAAACATAATCACAAAACTCTCGTCCGCCATATTGAAATCTCCATCTCAAATGTTGATAGGTAAAGCTCTGGTTTTCGCTTGAAACATTTGAACATTCGGTTTTCCATCAGCATCTTCAGTTCTCCAAAATATAACTGCGGCGTAAGCATCTTGGCTCGCATCGGAAAACATATTGTTACGATTTTACTCTGGGTCCGTAATAATTTAACACTCGGTAGAACACTTAAAACGATTTATTCTGAACACTACTATACAATAATTACAATACTCGTACTAAACACTTCCGATTCACAACACTTCTTCGTTCTTCGATCGTTATTATAACGCTTCCAAAAAAAGACTTTCCTTCCTGTCCCTAACAACAACTATTTATACTACCTAATAAAACGTCTAGATTCCACTCGAAATATCGTGAACAGGTCGATAATCTTCTCGAGTCATCTCAACAGCCGTCGATTTCTATTCCAAGAAATACGGTTTATTTACTTCCGCAGGTAGCTGGGATCGATTGCCAGGGTCGTAACATTTACCCCCTTCTTCAAATTTGATCGTCCCGATCAAAAACAGAACTCTCCTCACCATGATAGCGCTTCAGTCTTTCAAGATGAACGACTTTCATCTTTGTCCTAGGGCTGCGTTGGATTCTATAGACCACATCATTGATCCTTTTCAACACCTTATACGGTCCTTCCCAAGATGGTGTTAATTTGGGTGATACGCCTTTCTTCCGTCGAGGATTATACAGCCAAACTCGATCTCCTTCGAAGAATCCCTCTGAATTGGCTTTGAGATCGTACCGTGCCTTCATTTTGTCACTTGCTAATTTCAATCTCTTCCGAGCAGTCTCATGAATTTTCATCAAGCCATTCCGGAGCTCATCTGCGTAGTCTTGTACTTCCTTTTCTTCAACACTTGGTGAACCGAACACCAAGTCACAAGGTAAGCGGAGTTCTCTTCCAAAGACTATACTAGCTGGAGTTAGCTTCGTTGAATCATGGACAGCTGCTCTATACGCCATCAGGAATAAGGGAAGATGCCTGTCCCAGTCCCTCTGATGCTCTTCGACTACTTTGGAAAGATGTTCTTCCATAGTTCGGTTGAATCTTTCGACCATGCCATCGGATTGTGGATGTAGTGAAGTTGTTCTGGTCTTAGGTACTGATTCCCATTAGATCACAGACCTTTTTGAATAAGTTCGACTCAAAATTTCTCCCTTGATCAGAATGTAACTCCATTGGTACCCCGAACCGTGAAAACATGTTGTCTACCAATATCCTGGCAACTGTGGAGGCTTCTTGATTTGGCATGCCGTATGCTTCTACCCACTTACTGAAGTAGTCCATAGCAACCAAGATGTATTTATTTCCATCATCGGTCAAAGGGAATGGTCCGGCTACATCGATGGCGATCCTTTCAAACGGAGCACCCACATTGTTTTGTTTCATTCCAGCTCTTGATCTCGTTCTGGGACTTTTGCTGGCTTCGCATACAGGACATCTTCTACACCAACTTTCCACGTCGTCACGACATTGAACCCAGTAAAATCTTTCTCGAATTTTACTCAATGTCTTGTTAACTCCAAAATGTCCACCAGATTTTCCGCCATGGACTTCTTCCAGAACTTCATTAACTCTGATGTGGGGCACAACCAGCTGAGAAATTGTTGATCTACCATCAGCTGATTCCCAAACTCGCTTCAATAATCCATTCTCCACAACTAGTGAGTCCCATTGTGCCCACATCGCCTTGAAAACGGGTCCTCTATCCGAGATATCCTTCCATGTCGGTCTTCCTGTTCCTCTTTCTTTCCAACGTAGAAAATCAGCGATATTCGGATCGTTCTCCTGATCTCGTCTCATGTGTGCTGCTGTCCACTTATCATCGGTCACAAGTCTGGTTTTTCTAACATCAGCGGCTCCTTCTCGATGTTCAATGCGCAGACAATGCTTACAGGTTTCCGAACAAGGTCTTCTGGACATGGCATCTGCATTCTAGTGTAGTTTTCCTGGGCGATGCTTAATCTTGAAGTGATACTGGTTCAGCTTTTCCAGCCATCTTGCTATTTGACCTTCAGGATTCTTCATCTCCATCAGCCACCTCAAAGCTGCATGATCCGTCCTAATGAGAAATTCTCTTCCGTATAAATATTTGTGGAAATGGTCAACAGCCTTAACAATTGCCAGTAGTTCTTTCCTGGTGACACAATAATTCCTTTCTGGTTTGGATATCACTTTGCTGTAGTATTCTATAACCTTTTCTTGACCATCCTGTACTTGTGATAGCACGGCTCCAATTCCGATGTTACTCGCGTCTGTGTCCAAAATAAATAAGCCTCTCTCTTGTGGGAACCCCAAAATAGGACTCGAACAGAGGCCAGCCTTCAATTTCTTGAAGGATTTCTCACATTCTACAGACCAGTTGAAGTTGACTCGTTCTTCTGTCAATCTATGGAGTGGTGCCGCAATATCAGCAAATCCTTCCACAAAACGACGGTAGTAAGTGCACAATCCCAAGAAACTTCTAACTTCATGTTTGTCCTTCGGTCTTGGCCAGTCTCGAATGGCTTGAATCTTTGTCTCGTCAGTTTGTATTCCTTCTGACGTCACCGTGTGGCCCAAGAAATCTACTCGTTTCTGGAATAGTGAACATTTCTTCAGGTTCAGTTTGAGGTTGGCATTCCTGAATCGCTAGAACACTTCCCGTAAGTTCTTCAGGTGTTCCTCGAAATTCTTTCCCATGACCAAAACATCGTCCAGATATACCAGGCAAGTTTTCCAAGTGAGCCCACGCAGTACCAATTCCATCAGCCTTTCGAAGGTTGCTGGGGCATTACATAGTCCAAAAGGCATCACAGTAAACTGGTACAGTCCATTACCAGTCGTAAAAGCAGTCTTCTCCTTATCTTCTTCGTGAATGCCCACTTGCCAGTATCCGCTCTTCAAGTCCAGTGTCGAAAACCATCGGGAGCCAGCCAATGTAGTCAAAGTGTCATCAATCCTTGGTAACGGGTAGCTATCCTTCTTGGTGACGTCATTGAGCTTCCTATAATCCACACAGAATCTTGTGGATCCATCCTTCTTGGACACTAATACAACCGGTGCAGACCAAGGGCTGGATGATTCTTCAATTACCCCATCCTTCATCATTTTGTCAACCAGCTGTTCCACCTCCTGTTGCTTAGCAAACGGCATTCTTCTTGGTGGTTGCCGTATTGGGTGAGCTTTACCAGTATCTATTCTGTGCTTGATCAAGTTCGTCCGCCCTGTTGATGTTGATTCAAAGATATCACTTTCGTCTGCTATGAATTTCTTGGCAGCTTTATATTCCGTTGGTGATAAGTGGTCCAAGGAGGTTTCCAGAACTCTCAATGCACTGTCATCTCGTTCCCTCCATCTCTGCTCGTTAGTCTCATCACATTTTGCTACCCAACTGACTGGTTCACAAGCTCCGATGATGTCTCCTTCCCTTACTGTTATGGTGGTAGGTAGGAGTTAACAAGACATTTGCTACCCTCACAGGAATGTCTCGTTCGGTGGTCACTAAAGCTCGGGCAAGTAACAGCTTGCTGGGGGATTCCTCACATGACTGTACTAATCCAACGCAGCACCCAGGGTCCTTCTCTAATCGCGCATGGATGATCTTTCCAGTGAATCCAGGAATTCTCACAGTCTTCGCAAGTCGTAGCCTCACTGACGTCTCCCTCTCGGCCGGTGTCGTTAGTACAAACTCTTCTCCTCCAAATTTCATGGTCTTCTGATCACTGTCGAATGAAAACCCGTAGTCGCTTATCAGATCCATGCCGAGGATAAACTCATCTTCGATATCTGCGACGTATACCATGTTCACTAAATGGAGTCTTCCAAGCTTCAACTCGATATCAGCCATCCCTCGTATTGGTGCATTTTCTCCAGTGACCGTACGAAGAACAGAGTTGGAAGTGGTTGGTTTTATACTTCCAGGCCGGAGAATGTCACTGCGTACCAGGGAAACTGATGCACCGGTGTCTATGGTGCAGGTTACATCCATTTGGTTGATTTTTCCTTTGATGGTCAGGCTATCAGTTGTTCTTCTTATCCTTTTGATGTTTATGACCCTGGGGGCTTCGTTATTGCTAGCCAGCATGCGCCCCGATACGCTGGCTAGTTCTAGTTTTCCTGGTATCTATCTGAGGACTCACTAGATGACCTAGTCCTCGCAGGTGAGTACGACCGTAATGGCGTCCTTGCAGGTGAAGAAGATCGTGGTGGTACTCTCACCTTACAGTCCCTTATTAGGTGTCCAGTTCTGCCACAGCGATAGCAGGATCTGTTTCGCTGGTTGCTTGACCCACTCTTAATTTCTTTGATCGAGTCCTTCAGTTCTTCAAACATTTTTCCTAACATTTTTGCCAATGGGTCCACGTGTTCGGAAGGCTCCTCTATGGACACAGCTCTCACTTTTGGCCTAGAGGTGTTGAAGGCCGCTTCTACCTCCAGAGATCTTACTAGGGCTTCACCACTCCTCTTAAAGTGTGTAAGCCTCAGAGTCTTCTGTATTTCTGAGTCTCTCAGCCCGTCGATGAATACCTGCACCGCCAGTTGTTCTTTGAAGTCCTCTGGTGCCTCTGGGTAGGCTAATTGAGTCAGTCTTCTCACATCTGCTTCGAACTCCTGTAGGCTCTCTCCAGACTTCTGCACACGATTTTTCATCTGAGCCCGGTAAAGCTGTTCTCGATGTTGGTCACCATACCTGAGTTCTAGTGCAGCCACTAAATCTCCGAAGTGGTTTTGTTGTTCCACTGGGATCGACTGTAACATCCCCAAAGCTGGTCCTCTCAGAGATACAATGAGTGCAGTAGCTTTTTCCTCGTCACTCCACCCATTTGCATTTGCTGCAGCCTCAAATTGTCGGCGATACATAGACCAAGGCGACTGTCCATCAAAAGTTGGTGGTTTCACGGAAGAACCCGATGTGGCAACCCTGTCACGACAATCTTGACTTCGTAGCGAGGCGATCTGATTCGCTACATCTCTTTTGATTGTATCGAACATGGAATCTATTCTTGAAACTCCCTGGTTAAGCTTGTCGTCAATTTTGGTGAAATCTGTCTTCAACTCATCTATTTGCACATCAGTTTTATGCAGAATTTGTTCGAAGAAGATTTTCTGATGTTCTCGTTCTTTTTCTTGATGCTCTAGAATTTTCTGTAACTCTTCTTGACGACGTTGCTCTTCTTCTAATTTTTCCTCTCGACGACGTTTCTCCTCCTCTTGTTTTTCTTTCTGTCGTAGTTCCTCTTGTTCCGCGAACTGATTTTGCATAAATTTCAAAATGTCTTCCATCGTGTCGTATGACGTACTCCTTGTATTCACCATACGTCTTCAAATGTCCTCGAAAAATCCACACTTCTGACACCACTGTTACGATTTTACTCTGGGTCCGTAATAATTTAACACTCGGTAGAACACTTAAAACGATTTATTCTGAACACTACTATACAATGATTACAATACTCGTACTAAACACTTCCGATTCACAACACTTCTTCGATCGTTATTATAACGCTTCCAAAAAAAGACTTTCCTTCCTGTCCCTAACAACAACTATTTATACTACCTAATAAAACGTCTAGATTCCACTCGAAATATCGTGAACAGGTCGATAATCTTCTCGAGTCATCTCAACAGCCGTCGATTTCTATTCCAAGAAATACGGTTTATTTACTTCCGCAGGTAGCTGGGATCGATTGCCAGGGTCGTAACAATATGAATACTTTCAGATCCTGGTCTGATATTGGATGATTTTGCAAGCCATCGAGGAACTTTGAGGTCAACCAAAAGACTCAATTCTTGCAACCAACTCAAAAATGTTTTCTTAATATCGTCTGACACTTCGACCTCCCATCCAATTTTAAGACTCCACATCTTCTTCAGTAATATCTTCGCAAATAACGAAACTGGGCACGAAAATCTGATTGGGTCGATAATTCTGTTAGCAAAAGATAAAATAGTCCTTTTCGTAATTGTATCCAAATTCAAATCAATTAGGAAGATTCTCAACCGTTATATGGTGTTCGTTATTCGACGTTTTCTCAGATTTTTTATCAACAAGTGGCGTGTTCAACTTTGGACACATCAATTTAACATGTCGATTTTGACACCATCGACATTCCACCTTTACTCTGCACCGTCTTGTAATGTGCCAAATTTTAAGCATATGTGAAAGCATCCTTTAAATGACAGAATTTTACTCTTATCATGGATATTAATTTGTTGAGCTTCAGTACAATCTTCACTGGAATGGTTACCTTTGCAGAATACGCATTTTGGGGATCTTTGATTATCAATCAGGCTAGAGGCAGTCGGAAATGATGATGATTCTTGGTTCGAAAGATGTCGCTACATGAATCTTCTACTTCTTTTTTCAGGAACTCCATTTGATTCTTCAATCGGCAGTTTTTTGTTCCTATGATACGTATAGATTCTGTACCAGTATGACTCCTCTGCCATACTCCACCAGGGGAAATAACATTACTGCTTACTTCCCGGAAGTTACTCCTAAAGTTTCCAAAGATTGTAATTGACATTCGAGTTTGTCATGAAGCATACCAATATTAGATTCCACTTTCATATTGCTCAAAACTAGTTTCTGGAGCTCCCGAACGTAGAATTCTACCAATAACTTTCATTTTCCAAATCTAGATTCCAAACTTGCAATCACTTCATCATAATTCTCTAGACTAGGAGGGTAGCTCTCCACCAGTTGGCGTGCGCGAGACTTCGGATTAGTAGCTTGTATAAGATGTCGAAACTTATCTTCTGTGTTGATATTGTCATCGCAATCGATTCTCTTGAACTGATTCCAGAAAGGGATCCAATCTTCAATTTCGACACCAATTTTTCTGAATTTAAAACTTTTTGTTTTCGAAGACGAAGAACGCCTTGCTGCACTTGATGATTGACCAGAATCATGATTTGACTCTTTTACGAATCTCCTGTCAACTTCAAACTTGAGCTTATTATATTTGCCAGAAAATTCATCAGCTTTTAACACTTCAGAGTCGATATCTTCTTCACAACTATCGGCATTTAGCAGGAAATCAAGCATCTGCTTATCCAAAACGCTAATTTCCTCAATTTTCTTCTCAAGAAGACGAATATTGCCTTGTATATATCAGCAAAGTCAGGCTCAATAGAATCTTATTCTTGAATAATATCATTATATACACGCTCGAATGCTTCTCGGTGAATCATCAACATTCGTTGTGTCTTCTTCATTTGGATCAAGTCACTGTCCTGTCGCGGTCGCCAAAATAAATGTAATGAATGTATCACCCACCTGGTGAGAATTCAGTTACCTTAGAACATGGACAAGATGGAGATGATATAATTAAAGTACCAACTTAACCAGAGATTATAGCCGCGCATATACAAGGTGTAATTTAGTTGATGACTAGAAATATATGGTTCCTTATAGCTCATTTTGAGAAGAATAGTTCATATGAATATATGCCCTAAACCTATTAACTTTCGAGCTATAGGGTAATCAAATTTTGAGAAAGATATCGTTTTTCGTCGATCTCTAAAAATAATCACAGTTTACCAGTTCTACTGAATTATCAGTAGATCTCCTGATTTGCATATTGATCTACTAGAACATTTCATAATCTACTCGGGAATATTTTGACACTTATTCATTATTACAATCACCTATATCATCATTAATCTTTTGTTAATCATTTAAACTTATAAATTGCATGATATTTCGGCACGCTCTATTTAAATTGATTTAACAAAATAAGTGATAAATGTACATATAGGTAAATACTAATGACATGTATAAACCAAACAAGGACATGACTTGAGAAGAAAATTTTATATTAATATATGCCCTAAACCTATTAACCTTTGGAGCCATAGGGTAATCAAATTTTGAGAAAGATATCGTTCTTCGTCGACCTCAAAAAAAATCACATTTTTCGTTGCAAGATTGCCAGTTCTACAGAATTATCAGTAGATCTCCTGATTTGCATATTGATCTACTAAAACATTTCATAATCTACTCGGAAATATTTTGACACTTATTCATTATCACAATCACCCATATCATCATTAATCTTTTAATAATCATTTGAACTTATAAATTGCATGATATTTCGAACGCTCTATTTAAATTGATTTAACAAAATAAGTAATAAATGTACATATAGGTACTAATGACATGTATAAACCAAGAAAGGACATGCCTTTATCTGATTCAGATCAAATTCAATTTTTTATATACCTCTGTTATAACAGATTGTATCTTACGTTAAATTTTATTACCATCTGTTTTGTATTTCTGTTGTTAAGTTCCTATGTAACTGTATTTCGTGATATTTGTGAGTATTTTTGAATTGAGAATTATAGGAATATGATTATTTTTGTGTGAGAATGTTTGTTCTGTTTGTTTCTATCTTGTTGGAAATAGGTTACTTTTCTGTTTACTAAAAGTACATAATGTTTTGACGTCATAGGTTCATTTCATCATCTTCTCATGAAAATCGTATAGCATAAAATAGATCTTAAACAGATCTATTGAAATATACTGAATTTTTGACAAGGTACTTACTGACGGAATAAAAATCGAGCTGGCAATGAATTTATACTCACTTTATGTGGAATGAGATCATCATTCTTGGAATATATGAATAGTTGCGACCACTTATTCTTCTCATTCTTCAAATTTCCAAAAAGGTCCGTTTGAAAGAATGTCCTAGGATATATCACATTACTTATCACCTGCAATAAAACTGATTGTTAATTCATCACGATTCATCAACCATAGGAAGAATTCGCGGTCAAGAAGTATCGAGTGGTTATTAAACAGGGTAATTCAAAATTCGTTGTGAATATTTCAAGGACATAATGTTGGGATCAAAATAAGACTTTTTCTCAATATGAATATGTTTCCTAAAACGCATCTCCTCCGAGCTACAGCTACAGTCTGAAATAGGTAAAAAAAAACGATTATCTATAATGTTTACTGAAATAACGGACCAAATCTTTTAGATACTTTTTTCCTTCTTGCTTCAAAAATGAGGTTAACCCAGTTTTTGGGGTCTCTTTCATTTTGTCCATACAACCAACAGATTGCCAGAAAATCGTGATCAATGAAATTCAGATAATCTTTTTTCACCCAAATTACAGTGGCTGTAGCTCTGAGGGGTGCATTTTAGGACATATGTTTCAATGACGAGAAAGTCTCATTTTGATCCCAACAGAAATATTAACAGCGAATTTAGAATCACCCTGTATAATATAATGGTACACAAAAGCCGAGCTGTGCGAAAAAAAAGGATCAATAAACAATAAATGAAGAATAACAAATTCAGTACAGGAAACAAAATATAATAAGCTTGACACAACTGGTTATATCAGGTTATATCTTATAGAAATCACAATATATACAGCATAAGAAATGAGCAATAAAGAATTAAAAATAATGTTTCCGTACACAAAGGAATCTTTATTCCATATTTTTGTTCCTTCAACCTTTCGATCTATATCAGAAAAGTGACTCTATTGCCTCAATATAACACAAGAATTTGCTTCATAAATGAATAGTACTCAAGAAGTACGCAGAAAAAACAAACATTCAGTATGATTCGTTTTCGCCTGATCACCCCGTAGTCCTTCACGAACAGGTGAACATGATATTCGTTTTCGAAAAAACAAGGATGATGTATAGATACTTAAATTATACCAGCCTATTGTTAAATTAGGAAGTTCAAGGTTTTGCGTAAACAATGAGTGTATGTGACACTGATAATAACTGTCGTCGATAATATAATATAATCAAGTAGGTCTATGTTTCTACCTCACTTGCTTGACATTCAATTTCAGTTGACATTCAATCACATCACATCGAAAGTACCTACAAGCAATTTCATTATTTACTAGCTGACCCGGTAAACGTTGTTTTGCTAAATCCATTATATCTAGAGAATATAGAATAAAGACTTCATGCTGTCATGGTCATGGATACTAAATTTCAATTTTAATTGAAAAGAAACGCTTTCATAGTGAAAATGGGTCCATTTTTCAGTTCTACAGAATTATAATGATTAATTGCTATAGCCTCGGGATATAATCGGTTCTTGGGCCATACTGATATTCTTCACTACCTTAGTGTTATAAATAACTATTATTTCCTATACTTCTTCTTGATTTGACTAACCATGGAAGCGTGTTTCCCAGTCAAACTACAATTTATTTTCTACTGCTTTTCAGTTCGATAATCTATCTCTTTAGTTTTCTAAACTACTCTCTATTTTTTCCTTCTTTGCAGTTTGAGTTTCTATATTAAAGCGTATTTCATTAGTATTCCAATTCCAAAATACTATTCATTACAAAGCTCGTTCCACATAGTGAATCCACCAGCACCATCTTGATTTTTTTAATGATGACGGAAGAATCATAATCTCCGACCACAAACACCCCGGATACCAATTTTGAATAGAATCGGATTATAATTACAAAACACGTCCGCCATCTTGGATCCGCCATCTTTAATTTCTGTTTTTTTTTTCATAATTTTCTAATGAAAATAACAAACTCAATTAATACTCGAAATTGGTAATGTCAGATCACTGTCATTGTAAAGTATATATCGTAACATGTTGTTCATTTATCTAATCTAGTTCTCAATGATAATTTGATATGTATGTGTTTATTTTACAATGTGTGTCATGTGAATTTGCTACTCGAAATGACATTCTCAAATCTCATACATTTATATTATACCTGAAGAATTTAACCTGTCCCATCTACATAATGTAGCCCAGAGGACTAATAAATCTATATATTAATCTATCTATCTATCTACCCATTATGTAGAAAATTTAGTAAAGGCAAGTTGACGTGACCCCTCACTTTAAAATATCTGTCAAAAAATAATGTGATCACAAATCAGTGATGAAATACACGAAACAGACTCGTTTGATATCTTCATTAGTGGAAAATGGTTGACTCAAGTTCAGCTTTCCTAAGTGATATCAAGGAAGCAGCACACACTATTTTCTCCGTCCATCCATATTTTTATTACATACGTAACTGGTGTTGAAATGAACATATCATCACCAGTTATGTTATATTTCACTTTACACATCTGATTAACTATAGTAAAAAGTTTCAAAACTCTTGTCAATGTCGAATTCCATGTCAAAATTATAAAAAAAAAAGTTAACTAATATAGGAGTTGACAAATATTATTGAAATAATCAAATAATAGGCACTATTGTATGCTTTGCCCAACAGGTAACATACATGAAAATCCATGTTCATTTTTATGTTTATAGTATTGTATCTAGTGTTTCAGATAGGAACCAAGCGAAAAACGATTATCCAGCAGTTGTACTAACACATTCATGATATGAATAATTAGACAATTACCCACTGATATACCTTTGAAACAAAGCAAATAGTGGTAATTAGTGTGATACCAACCTCGTACACCCATATTATGGACAGGAACATCGTCATAATCAATGACACAGAAAAATTGTAAAATACGTTTCCACCTATGATGGCCGATATCGCCCTAAAGAGACTCAAGAATCTTCGTTTTCCTGGTGCCGAATCAAATATCGTCCCTTTAACCTGAAAAATATACATTACTTGTTTCAAATATATGCCATCCACATTCCAACTAATTCGGATATACTATACAGGGTGTTTTTTAATATGTGGGAAGCACTTCGAGATTATGAAAATGAAAATGTTTTCATAAACAGAAATCGTACAAGATTTCGTTCGCGAGATACAGGGTGTCAAAGTTGGAAATAAAAAATATGTTCCATTGAATTTCTAAATAACCGCTATATGAAAATTCTTGGTGCATAACCCAGTACTTGAGAGTAATTGAATGGGTAGCATTATCTAGTCAATCTGACTCTCCAGCGGCACCGTAAGGGGGTATATTGATGTGTGATTTTTCAGAAAAACATGGTTGGCGATGAAACTTTTCGAAATTTTATTCAAAAATATGAAAATGGAAGCTATTCTGTATAGAAAGCACCAAGTGTTGGAAATTCAGTTCCAAAATTTGATGTATACAGGGTATGTCACGACGAGCTTATACTATCTTGATATCGAGAATCAGTCGGGAGAAATCTATGAAAATGTGCATGCAAATATTTTAGAATACGCTTTCTTCATTCAAACTATTTTCGACAGTGCAGTGTTGCCGCTTCTACTAGAAAGTAGTAGCAGCATTGATATTTCAAATGGAACACCCTCTATTTTATCGCATTTTTAGATTCTCCCTGAAGCGATGCTTCATTTGATACATCACACTTGGGGTCTATCAGAAATGATTACAGAGTTATAGGGTGTTCAAGGACGAGATTTCTCAAGTTTAGGATTTTTTGTGTCGAAACTATTCATTATCGGTCAAAACGGCTCACATGTCCATATTTCAACTTTTGATTAACTATTCACTGATATTCAATCGAAACAGATACAGGGTGGTTCAAGATTCAGAATTCTGAAATGAAACCAGCTCTTCAGGGAGAATCTAAAAATGCAATGAAATAGAGGGTATCCTAGCTATTTTTCGTTGCTAGTTAGGAATATTACCAACCTATTACCAATTACCAACTAATATTTTTGTTCCAAATCGTATTTCAACATATGACCACTGTTAACCTACAAAATAATTTAAAGGAAATGGGAATGCATCTGCATGCAACTAACGAGACACGTATATTGGTGGTAGATCTGCGTCCAGCCCGTAAGATACATGAATTTCTATTGAAATGGCTTGTTTACTGACCGTGAATTAGATTCCATCTGACGAAAAAGATGAAAACCTCAAAATTTTCGATTTGCATAATTTTGCGCACATGAATATGATAGTGTTTTACGTTCAATGTCATGCTTTCAGAATAAATTGCCCACAAAGATGAGAGCTTCATGTTCACCTAGAGTTCTTGGAAATATGCAAGTAAGTATACCCACCTGAAACATTCTCTTCGATTTCACTTTCGTCTACAATTCGCTTACATTTTTCATAAAGAATCATAATACAGAAATGGATTGAATAATTCTGATTGCATCAAAATTCGAAAATGACAGTTGATAGTCCCCACAATTGACAGGCCAGACAGAACTCGAACGACTGAAGGTGTGAAAACTCTGTTACCATAATAATGTGTTTCAGAAACTGTCGTGTTGCCATGGTAATGTGTTTAATTCTTCGAATAACATAACAGATCATCAATCCGACATAAATTGATCATTTAGCGAGGAACCTAAATATCCGTACGCTAAATGCCATTGTAATTATGTGAGCAGAAAATAGTTATTTATATACAAGGGCGTGAAATGCTGCCCTTGCTAGATTCAAGATGAATAAAACAAAGGAAAATTGGAACAGTTACAAAAACTTGCGAAATTTTGCCTTAGCATCACTGAGGAGGGAAAAAGCAGCTTACCTATCACATTTAAAATCTGCAAATAAATCGAAGGAATTATGGCAAACCTTGAAACATAATATATGAAAATACAATCAAATAATTACGTACCACTACCAAACAGCTTACAAAATCCAAATGAAATTAATGACTTTTTTATATCGGTTTTCAAGAAAAGCGATTCTTGTCAAGAAACTAGTGAACATTATGACAATCAAATATTTTCGAACTGGAACCAGTTACTACTAACACTGTGAAGGACGCAATAGGTATATTCTTTGAAATCTAACGCTTGTGGAGTAGACAATATAAGCCTACATATTATTATGGTTAAACTCTGTCTTCCAATAATCCTAAATCACATCACCCATATTATAAGTTGCTGCCTAGAATGGAAGCTAGCAATTGTTAACTCGATGGCAAAAAATAATTCCCCAAAAAATGTCACGGATTTGAGACCAATCAGTTTGTTATGTGTATTATCCAAAGTTCTTGAAAGAATCGTATGTAATCAAGTAACATCTTTTGTAGATGAACATAATATATTACCGCTCCATCAATCAGGATCTCGAAAAGGTCATAGTACGACTACCTCACTACTTTTGAACCTAACTGATGACATATTCAGATCTCGCGATAAAAAGATGGCTTCAATTTTGATATCCCTTGATTATTCCAAAGCCTTCGATTGTATTGATCATGATCTCTTGTGTAGTAAACTGAAATATTATGGCTTTGCCGATTCTGCTGTTCGTTTTTTCAAATCCTACCTCTTCGATCGATATCAGTCAAAATAAATGATGTTTTGTCTCGTCCAGATCACATTATTTCTGGTGTTCCTCAAGGGTCTATTCTTGGCCCACTTTTATTTTTGATATATACAGCAGACATTTATGATAAAATAAAATTTTCAAATCTTCAAACTTATGCAGACGACACACAACTTGTGTATCATTTTGACCCCTCTGTTGCAATTGATACCTGTGAGGAAATAAATTGCGATTTACAAGCCATCAGTCAATATTCTGTTCAGCATAATTTAACATTGAATTCCACTAAAGGTGTAGCTATCTTATTTTGTTCTGAAGGAGTGAGAGAACAGCTCAAACAAAGTATACAATTGCACATAGGGGATACATCTTTAGAATACTCGACATCATCGAAAAATCTAGGACTCATCATTGATGAAAAATTAAGATTTCTTGAACATGAATACAGCGCTCATATGCACGATTGAGATTGCTCTTTGCAAACAAGAGCATCATATGAGTTTAAATCTGAGAAAACAATTATGCGAGTGTCTTATACTGTCAATTTTCCAGCATTGTAACATCATTTATTTTCCCTGTTCAGAACAAAGAACCATTTACAGAATCTTGAAAATTCAAAATACATATTGTCGACTCATTTTCAATTTGGGAAAATATGATCATGTGTCCCATAAACTCAGGGAACTTCAGTAATTAGATATGAGCAATTCCTCAGAATATTATTTCTTTAATTTCATTCACAAGTTGCTTAAGGATTCAACTCCAGCTTATCTTAGAGAAAAACTCATCTTCAGACAAGAGGTCCATAATATAGATGTTAGACATCAGCTAAAATTAACAATGTCTCATCATACCACGTCTCTGTTTGAAAGAAGCTTCACATACAACTCGGTTATACTGTATAATTCATTACCAATAGAATTCAAACAATCACCATCGACGCAATTCCGTGAAAAAATTGAGAGCAATTTGTTGAATCATGCTTTACATGTGAGACAATAAGTGAAAATGTAGATGTCAAGCTAGATTTAGGTTTTCAGGATTAGTATTAGGATTAGGTTATAAGTCGAGCACAGGCTAAGTGTAAGAATAGCTTCCTAGCTAAACTTCGCCTGATGCAGATACCACCTATGCCTCATGTTACTATGTAATATTCTTATGAGGAAATAAAGACAGATATAATAGTATTTTTTCTGTGACGGGAAAAAATTTTGGCATTTCATCTCTGTTGGCAGGTTATAAAATGTCACTTTTCATAAATTACTTTTTTCCCGTGGGAAAAAAGTGAGTACTTTTTTCCCGGATAGGTATATCACATATATATATACTCTGTTAATTGCTTTTGTTGTGCTATAGTTCCGAGAAATGAGTCAATAATACCGTCTCCGAGAAAGAACTGCAAGTCCTTTTATCTTCCATTCGACTTCGCGGTTTCGTATATTACTAAACAACTACTGAATTCGCAATTTTTCAAAATCAAATCACATAATTGAACTGACAGAAGTGACATCAGATATTTGATCACTTCAAAAGAATGATAAAGATGTCTATAAAACGCAGGTGTCCCTACTGTTAAAAACTTGAAATTTCACGTCGATAATTTTCAGATTTCGAAATAATGTAATATCTTCTCAATATTGATTCGTCCTTCCTTCTGTCACAGAAAAAAATAGTGTATTATACACGGGAAAAATATAAGATTTTAGCTCACGGTTTTTTGTCTCCCTCCGCTACGCGTCGGGAGACAACACAACCTGGAGCTAAAATCAACTACTTTTTTCCCTTGTATAATAAATAACTATTTATGGACCGCAGCGTGTACGTAAGAGACCAAGCGATAGCGAGGGCTATTAACATTGATGAAATCAACGTTAACCATCTTAACTCAGTCAATTTTTCGAATTAGGAGAAGATTCTTGAATTTGCTCTTACTTATTGTCCTTAGAGATAACTTATTTTGAGTTCAATCATATCTATTTGCAGCATAGAAATATCAAAAGAACGCTCGAGAGAACTGTTTTATCAGATATTTAACCATCACAACTTGACTATATAATATGTCCTGAATTACACAGGGATGCTTATCACGAGTTACCCATACACCGGGCGGTAAAGTAGTCCCCGGACGGTAAACTGCCACTTTACGCCCGCAAAAGCGGGCGAAAAAGTGCTACTTCACGCCCGGTTGTATAAATATTATTACCAATGAATCTATATATATCTAACGTTTGTACTTACCAGCAGGGGTTTGGGATTCTTTTCCAGGGCCAGGGAGAAATTCTGATACAGAAAGGCTCCGCCATTGGAGAAACAGTGAACAATGATCGGATGGTTCTCGAAATTTAAGTCCACCAACAGCTTGACTAGTTTCTCGCCTATGGTGACCATCTGGTTTCTTTTCAGGAAAAGGCATTTCACTGGCGCTGTGTACCTCAGAGTGATAAGTCTATAATGATGAAATGCAACGATTAATATGCTGGTTACTGACTTTCTGAGAATACAGTAAATATGATTTAGTCTATCAAAAATTTCCATGATATTAGATTTTTCCTCAATAACCTGCAACGTGTATCTCAAAATATGGCTTTAATTCGAAATTCTGATCTTCCTGTCCAAATTCTATCTTTCATCTCGATTTGTTTTCAAAACATGGAAATACTAAATAGCGGCCTCCGGCCGTTAAACAATTTTAACGGACGGGGGTGGTTAACATTTAATTTCCAATTGTCATATGAATACCATTAAATCAAAATAACAGTATATGATTATGAAGAATTTATGATTATAAGACCTCATGGTCCGAAATCACTAATATGTCAAGTCCCAGGAAACCAGATGACGAATGGTCACATCCTCGGTCACATCACTGTGTACCCATTTGGTGATTTTTCTTCAAAGACGTCTCACACCAATTAATGACGTCACTATGACGTACTTTATATTGCGTGATGATCACGTCATCATTACGACGTTGAGTAAACGTCACTTGTATGGGTGAAATATGACTTTGATATCAACAGCCTCCGTCCGTTGAGATTGTTTAACGGCACGAGGACGTTATAATATTATTGTGATATTGTTAAGCTGTTCTATAACAACTCGATGTTGGGATTTTTCTGTTGAATTACTAGGTACGTGGTTTGTTCTTTCCTTGGAATCAAAATGTAATCTTTCAGCAGGATTACGAAAGGTCTTGAACGATCCAGTTGTTATAATCCTCGGATACTTCTCGGATAACAATGATTTAACCTCATCCGTTACTTGCTTCATATCGGCCTAGTAATGTTAATAACCATAAAAGATTGTCATTGTACATTTTTTTATCAGGTATTTCCAATATTTGACTGATATAATATTTTGACTATGTACTTTCGTGGGTTGCCAATCACGTGCGAGCGCATTATTTAGCTAGTGGGGTTTCCAAAGGAAAAGTAGTCGTCCCTAGGGTGAGAATGAATTCTCAGACTGGTGGCAAACGTGTTAATAAGCACATAGTGATAGTCATTATCCACGAGAATGAAGTTTCATCATGCGAGTGGAAAATTAGCATTCCATGCGAGTTAAGCACTATACTTTTCATACAGCTGTAATAGATAACAGCAACATTTTGATTCCTTCGGCTTGTAGCCATCTGATTTCCTCTGAAGTAATGCTCATCCATTAGACAGAGCAGTCATTGCTTGAAATTTGACATTTCATTGGAGATGAGATTTTGTGAAATAATGAAACAATGAAGTCATTGTGCTATCAGATACGGAAATGAAATTGAAAATGAAATTTGACAACTTCATTCAGTGCAATTATCAATCACTATGACAATACGATCGACTTTGACAACTTCAAATTATTTTCGGCCGAATATCCTTCGGACATTGACGAAAGCCTCATGATTTTATGACAAATTTCTCAAGCTCGAGCTGTAACCAAGACACGAGCTTTCGATTGTCATAAACTTATATCGTTTATCATCAGTGTCCTAGGGTGATTACTACTGATAACAAACATAGTGCCTCATTGATACATGGAACAAAGTAAAACAAGAGCAATTTTGTGTTGAAGCCGTAGAAAATTAGTATATTGTCTAACGAACACAGAAAAATAATCATTTCCCACGAGAATAGAGTTTGCAGCAAGAGCCGTAGGCGAAGTTATACACTATACTTTTTCTACGGCTGTAACAGACGAAATCGATTTTTTTAATTTCTTCTGCTTGTACCCATCTGATTTTCTCTTAAGTAATGCTCATCTATTAGACAGATCTGTCATTTCTCGGAATTTTATTATTTCATGGAGGATGAGATTTTGTGAGATGATAACACAATTAAGTCATTGTGATATCAGATGCTCAAATGAAATTAATGTCATACCATAGTATATTATTCAACAAGCATATAATGAGGGCAATTATTCTCGAAGGTTAAGTTTATGTCACGAACGACATTGAGAAAACTAAAAATTGAAGATACATGTTACACATGTTATATATATGTTATACTTCCTCAAGCAAAACAATAGCCATTTTTCATTCCAGTGAAAAATAGCGGTGAATAACTATTATTCACTGGTCTTAAGTTCCTTATATATTATATCGCGTACCCTAAGAACTCAAGACAAGTGAATTATGGTTATTCACTGCTATTATTCACTGATGTGAAAAATAGCTATCGTTTTGCTTCGTTTTAGTAACGAGTATTTTTGGCACGACCGCAGCAGAGCGGAGCGAGGTATTTAATAAACGAGTTTCTATAAATGCGTTTCATACTATACTTTTTCTACGAACTCATAATTTCTCTCTTCCACAAGATCATATACATAATACTATGCAACCAGCGAGACACGTCTTAGTGAAATTGGTTGTAGATGTGGCCAGGTTAGGTTAGGATAAATGGATGTGAACAAGAAGTTTTCATCTGACGTAGAAGATAAAAACTCTTCGATTCGTTGAGGTATCGAAGTTTTCGATTCCTCAGGTTTGTAGATGTCCATATCCTGATTGCATAATGTTGCTCACATAAATATTGTATTTTACGTTTACTGTCATTTAGCATACTGAAGAATGAATTGCTCATAAAGATGAGATTTTCATTTTTATACAGAGTTCTTGGAAATATGCAATTCCCTAAAACATTCTCTTCGATTTCACTTTCGTCTACACTTCGCATACATTTTTAATGAAGATATCTGATACAAACAGAAATTGTTTGTCAAAATTCCAAAATGACAGCTGACAGTTTCTACAATTGAGAGTCCGGACAGGACAGGACTCAAACGACCGAAGGTGTGTTTCAAAAGTTTTCTTGCCAGTATTCAAGAGATTGTGTTGCCATGGTAAGGTGTTCAATTTTTTGAATAAATCACAGATCATCAATCCGTGATTAATGGATAATTTGGCGTGGTACATATCCGTACGCTTAATGCCATTTTAGTTATGTAAGTAGAAAATAGTAGAATGTTTTATTAGCATTGAAAGTGACACTTGCGAAACCTAGCTAAAGCAAAATTTGCGAGTCAAACAAAGTCACTTTTGTTCCGAATGAAACATGCTATTTTTTCTGCAAGCAAAACAATTAACTATAATGAATTTAATATGTGAAGTGACCATCAATGCCGTGCCATATGTATGCAATGCCACATTATAATCCGTGTGGTGAGAATATTCTACTTGCATTAAGAACAGGTTTATTCAATTTTCAAGGATGTTCCAATTGTAGTTTCAATATAAATACAACCACATAGTGACATATTCGTGTATGGACCAAATGCGCTAATGGCAAATTCCGCGCCAGTGACAGGTATAGGAGCAAGACGTGGAAAATGTAAGGTTAGTTTAGTGAGCATATCAACAATAATAATAGCGATTATTCATTCCTCTCCATACTTCACTGTGTTTGGCTTGCTAATCAAATGTAGGTAAACAATATCGTTCTTTGAGACAAAAAACTATTGCTGGCCGTGATTATTCAAAAACAAGTTATCCATCCCGAGAATAACGAATGAAATACAGATCAAGCAAGTATTTGAATCTTGAAGGCTTCCCTGATCAAAACAAAAATACTTAACTGAGATGTTTATAATTCCAATACTAAACTATAATGAGGTGTATTTATATCTCCAGCATGGGTATGAAATGCCAAATCTGCTGATATCGGAAACAAATCAGGTATGCGTCTCAACCCAAATAACCAACCGTCACAATGTTGTTTATTCTTGATGACGTCCAGTACATCCTTTTTAGTTCCTAGGAGCTAAAGTTCAACTTTAGCTCCTAGGAACTAAAATTCACTTTTAGCTCCTAGGAACTGAATATGTTGCCTAGCAACATACCTATTTTTGTGTCAGTAATAGGAACGTCAATTTAAGAGCTAATTTTGGTATTAAAATGGACGACTTTTGTGTCGGTTGCAGAAAAAAGCTGTTTTCAGTGTGGTCATTGAGATTGCCGGATTCACTGCTCAACTCACCCCTTCTCCTCGTATATCTGCGAGTACTTGGCCAAGTACCTGTCTTGGCAGCCGGCCCAGCCGAACAGCACCACCACGGGGATCTTCTCCTCGTTGACCACGAACACAAAATCATGGTCTCCGTTGTGGTAGTCGAAATTCGGGTTGGGGAACTTGATGTAATACTCGAGAGCGTCTGGGTCGGCACGATCCTCCGCCATTTTGGAGAAACCGACTGCGCGAGCTCCGAGGTGGAACTATCGATTTCGCGGATCGGATAGGAAATTTTCGGGGTCGAGCGTCGATTGCTATTGCTCAGAGTTGGAAAGTTCATGTTGCTATAGACAGGGTAGGGTTGCTCCCAGGGCCGTATTAACCACAGGGCACCAGTGGCCCAGGGACGAATTCAGAATTGGCGGCAAAAAATTTGCCAATAAGTATCATGAGCGAAAGACAAGAGAATGTCTCAGTAACAGGGTTGCGACGATTTAATTCAACTGATTATTCCAATTTCAAGTAGATAACTCATCTGGAAATTCAATAAGAGGACGTTTATTAAAAACTAAGTGTTTACATTCATTATGTAAGTGCGAGTGTGCACAAAATTACTCAGGCTAACCTATAAAAAACATAAAAAATATTTGTTTAGGGAGCCAGTTGTAATACTTATAATATAGGAAAACTAATTCAGCGGCTTTTTCGGTTCCCAAGCGATTTCGAAGTTTGGACTGTAGGACTGTTCCATAACTCCGATTAACTTGAAATTTGGCAGGTGTTCATAGTTTCGGTGACAATACATTAAGGGATTTTTGTTGAAATTAAAAAAAATGGCTGCTTCAAGATGGCGGACAAGATTTGGTCCGATTCCATTCAAAATTGTTAAGTGGGGGTTTTTGAGGTCGGAGATCATGATTTTTTTGTTAAAATGTATAAATTCAAGTTGGCGGCTTCCAAATAGTTTTTTGTTTTTGTATAAATGACGATAACTCCGTTGTTATCAACACAAAACTATTACTGCGACATATCATCTGTAAGAGGAAACGAAGTTATTTGTAACTAAGTCATAGTTAGCTATGACCTACATTTGAAAAACTAAAGTTGGTGCTGATATCCCAAATTCTAGATGAGTTGGTATAAATTTCATATTTTTTTCGAAATCACTTTGAGAAACTGCCATGAGAATGTGAAATTCCTATTTGAATATTTTCATAAATAAAGAAGTTACGGAGGAGACATGAGAATGATCAAAATCTGTTTTTTGCGTATAAAACAAAAACGAATAGATTTTATCAAAATATTTGTTCATATTATAGTTGGCCTTGACAAACTCCACATTTGGTGTCATTTAACCGACCTCGTATCTCTCACCGTTAAAAAGATACCCATGGTGAGCATGGTAAGTGGGACACACTGTATAGAAACATGTACGTCTTGGTAATTTTATACATAGGTATGCTTCTAACGTCAATGATAGTAAAACTCATTAAAACAAATCAACATGCAGAAAAACTTGTTTTAAACTTTCTCACACTGTATATCTCGGAAACCAATCAAGCTATATACGGGGTGTTCCTTAAAGACATACTAATATTTGATGAGGTGATTATCTGATTTATTTTAAGAAGAAGGTCTTGACTTTTGAGATACAGGGTGATGAAGTTTTGAAAAATATTCAGGTTTCGATGATAACTATGACAATATTGTACACATCTGTATGAAATTTCGTACACATCTTTTATGCATCAAGGTGCATTTTCTGGCGTACAAAAATTTTCATTTCCTCTACCAGTGGCACCGTTACGGGAAAATTATTGTTTAAATTTCACTAAAAAGTGGACAACGACGAAAAATTTTCGAATTCCATGCAATCCTATAAAAATCTATTCAATTATGTACAGAACAGATTCTCTTGTTGATACTCGATAGAACGCTTCGTTTTCGAGAAAAAACGGAAAAACGAGACCAGACTTCAAATTTTCATGTACATGAGTACTCCATTCAGGACATCCATTACTGGATAATCACCGTATGTAATATTTTGAAATTTGTATATCGATTCAGTCACATAGCAGGCTGAATTTTGCCACCACGAAAAGCTATACAGGGTGAACATTGACACCCTGTACCTTGCAGTGACGTATCTATGACGTCTAAAAATCACGTCGGTGTGACGAACCAATTTGGTGAGCTTCGTCATTCAGAAAATTTTCCAATAATTTGCTATTCAGATTTTTGTTGAGTGGTAAATAATGCATGAACCTATGTTACTCAACAAAGGCAAGCTGAATTCGCCAACATCCTTTTAGTTGCTATCAAACTATTCTTGGTTTGCTTACATCTCGCCGACACAAACTACCTAATTTTTTATACAAATACGAGTAATTGATTTCTTTCTGATGGAGAGGATTGATGAGGGATTGCGCTGCTGAATAGACGATTGAATGGATATGACACCGGAGGGACCAACCAAGTAGATTCAACAATGCATAATCAATATTATATGTCATCAGAGGTCAGTGGTAATTATAACACCATGTTAGATGGAACTTGCAATGCAGACATTGCTGTCTATACGGACGACTCCAAAACTGATGAAGGATCAGGAGCTGGTATTTATGGGGCCAAGCCAAAGACAAGAATCTCACTGAGCTTAGGCAAATACGCGACGGTGTTTCAGACAGAATTATTGCAATACATCATTGCGTGAAAGAATTGATAAGGCAAGAGTTTAAAGGCAAAACCATTGCAATCTATTCAGATAGCCAGGCGGCAATCAAAGCAGTCAACTCTATGCAAGTTAACTCAAAACTAGTAGGTATGGGACTGCTTAGAAACCCTGAATGCACTGGGCAGTCAGAACAGATTGACTCTAGCATGGGTACCAGCACATACAGGATACGAGGGCAATGAAGATGCAGACTCACTCGCCCGAGCAGGAGCAAACAAAGCTCTTAATGGCCCAGAACCCTTTTGTGGTATTGCGAAAGCTATACAAATGACTAGTATCAAATCATGGATGCAAACCAAATCTCAAGAATGGTGGAACAACTCGCCAGGAATGAGACAGGCTGAAGAGTTTATTAAAAAACCATCGCCAACATTCACAGAATATCTACTAAGCCAGAAACGAAGTTCAACTAGAATACTAGTGGGACTTCTCACAGGGCATTGTAGGCTCAACAAACACATGAGTACGATAGGTCTGACTGAAGAACTGCTGTGCAGGTTCTGTCAAGAAGAGGAAGAAACAGCAGTACACATACTTTGTCACTGTGAGGGCTTGTCAAGACTATAAGGTTCCTTACGCTGGGTGTGGAAAAACCAGGAGCCCAGAGATACACAGGAGATCTGAAACCTAGCCTATGGAGTCTCATAGAGAGATGGGGCTAGCCGAAAAACTCTAATCGATTTTGAAGGCAGACACAATAGATCTGAAAAGGTCGCAGTGTGGAGGCAGATAGCCCGAAGGCCCCATTCCAAATATAATCTAATCTGATCTAGAACTTTTTTACGTGTCATCACTAAATTCGAACGTCATTTTGACGTCGCCTCGACGTTAGTCTGACGTCACAGTTCGGTGAGTGAATGACGTCAATAAACGTGAGTAATATGACGTTATTGGGCTGTGACTTTGTGAAAGTAGATGAATAAAATCCATTCTCTTCGGAAATCTCACATTTCATTACACAGCAGGACATTTTCATGCATGCTTCTTTCTCAATAGTTTATGAAATTAAATATCAATTCTGACTTTCATGAAATTTATTCAGAGCCGGATTAACCACAGGGCACGCGGGGCAACTGCCAAAGGGCGAATTCAGAATTGGGGGCGAGAAACTTGCCGATAAGTATCATAAGCAAAGAATTTCTTAGTGATCAAATATTTTATTCTTTCGGCGGTTTTATTAGTTATAAGAGAAATAGAAATTAAAAAGAAGATTGATGTATTTTGTACCAATATATCTATAATATTTCCTATTTTTCTACTATTTTGTTTCTCAACAGCCTGTTTGTTGATATATGGATTTTTTTTAGGCGCTAGAGACATTTTCAAACGCAGTGACATATTGGGGTATATAATCCGATAAAATGAATGAGCACTATGATTTCTCAATAATGCGTCATTCAACAAGACTAATCTGAAAATCTTTGAGATGATATTGTTACGTTATTCGGGTGCAGAAGCGAACACGACACTATTTATTTTCGAACTGATTTATTTGAACTATAGAACCACTAATTTATAACGAACTTATAACTACTATTTATGTAAAACGATTTATAACACGCGGTATATAACTGTCTCTCTGACAGTCGCTGCTCGACTGACTGACTCAGTTGTTCGGCTGTCTTATATATGAGAACACATGGCTGGCTTTGGTTGGAGAACCTTCTCGAATGATCTTCCGTCTCCTTCTTTTTGTTCTAGAAGCTTCTTAGAACAAACCTCTCTCTCTAATTGTTCCATCGATTGTTTCCAGAACATTCCAGAATCTTCTGTGACGTTATCTGTCACTGCGGCATATATTGAGTGTTCGGAAATATGCTAGTGTATGTAGGAATCATTGAGAGGTTGAAGAGCAATCTGGGATGCGTAATACAGGATGATCGTTGTACTCCTGCCTTCCTGCTGATGTTCCTGAAGCCCCTTCAAGGAGAATATCATTACACTGCCCCCTCCTTAAAACGCATTCCTCCTGGAATGCACTCTGATCGTTATGAAGATAGGGACAACTGGTTTCATTTTTACAAAATGCAGTATGGTAGAAATAGCATGGCACTGTCTTCTCTCTTGGAGTTCCTTTGGAGTTCCAGCAGCATACCAGAATTTCAACTCCGGTGAATCTAAATAAAACCTCTAGCATGTTCCTTACAACTCTCCAATTCAAGCCATCCAGTCCACACCCCAGCTTTGGAACAGCTATCTTCTGTATGTCCTTCTCGAGTATGGTGCTTCGCAAGTCGACTAGGGTCTTCCAGAGGTCCTTGTAAGTGGGTTTCTCAGAAGATCTCCCTTTCGTTATAAGATAAAACAGAGACCTTCTTCCTTCAGCGCTGATATCTTCTATTTCTAGTGCTCGACCGACGGAGGGACCTTGTTGATGAAGCTCCTCTAACTTCCCGAACTTCCTCATGAACTTGTTCGCTATTCCTTGAGACATCTGGAGATCCTCGGCGACGCAGTGAGCTAGTGCGTATTCTACAGGAATGGCAAAAAGAA